TTAGCAGCATGGTCCCGTTAGCAGCATGGTCCCGTTAGCAGCATGGTACCGTTAGCAGCATGGTCCAGTTAGCAGCATGGTACCGTTAGCAGCAAGGTACCGTTAGCAGCAAGGTACCGTTAGCAGCATCGTCCAGTTAGCAGCAAGGTACCGTTAGCAGCAAGGTACCGTTAGCAGCAAGGTACCGTTAGCAGCAAGGTACCGTTAGCAGCAAGGTACCGTTAGCAGCAAGGTACCGTTAGCAGCATGGTACCGTTAGCAGCATGGTACCGTGCACGGTGTGGTCTTGTTAGCAGGTTCGTCAGCAGCTTGATGATAAGGACATCAGCAGCTGCCCTCCAGAACCGGGTCCAGCAGACGAAAAACATCCAAGGTTTCCCCGTGGAACCAAACGGGTCTGTAGACCCGGTTCACAGAGACCCAGGGTTAAATCATCTGTTTTTTCTTGACTTCCAGCAGTTTTTAGTTAAATCCATAGAAAATACAAAAAAATATCTGTTTAACAAAAAACAACAAGATTTTAGCTCCAACAAGGCGATTCTCAAAAAGCTAAAAAACTTGAACAGCTGAAGGATGATGCATCTCTCTGGTCCTGTTTCAGGTCTTTACTAGACCTTCAGAAACTGTTCAAGGATTTTAAAGCTGGACTTTTTATTTTCTGCCCTGTTTACTCACTTTTTAAGAACACGTTGCAGAAACTGAGTGAAAATGAAACAAAGTTCACGGAAACCCCTGAAAGACCCTCAGAACGTCTGCAGAACTGTGGATCCAGACCACTTTAAAGGACTGCAGGAAGAACCGAAGAGAAACTTTGACACCGACTGTTTCTACAAAATAAAATGAATCCAGTGAACTGGTTCAGGGTTTGTAGATTTTTCATAGATCCTAAAAAGAAGCGCCGCGATGAAGACGAGTCAGTGATGACTGACGTCACGTGACTCACGTTTTCTAGCAAGGTGAGGGGGGATGCTGGGCTTCGGCCTCCCCCTGTAAGGCCTGGAGCGCTGATACTGCCAGGGTGGAGAGAGGAAAGGGACAGGAGGGACAGCCTGAGACACAGAGAGGACAGGAAGCTGATTCTTAACACGACGGCACCGATGGACACGCTCAGACGAACACACAAACACCGTCTGACCTGAAACCTGCTGAGTTCACATGAGGCACAACGCGGACAGAGAAACAGCTGTTCATGAAACCAGCTGATGGAAACCGAACCACCGAGACTGGGCTGGAGCAGAAACCAGTCGGAATTTATCAAAACACAAACTGATCAAACCATTAAAGACAAGAAGAGAAGAAGAGTTCAAGACGGAAAACTGAACAGTTAAAGACAAGATGTTAGATGCACTTCTTCTTCTTTTCTCTCTTCAGGGTCTCCACAGCAAGTCCTCCTCCTCAATCTCACTCTGTCCTCTGTGTCCTCTGTCCTCACTCTGTCCTCACTCCAACTACCTCCATGTCCTCTCTAACTGCATCCATATGTCTCCTCTTTGTCTTTTTCCTGGCAGCTGCATTTCTAACATCCTTCTACCAATATACCCACTGGCCCTCCTCTGGACATGTCCAAACCACTGTCTCTCCTCTGGACATGTCCAAACCACTGTCTCTCCTCTGGACATGTCCAAACCACTGTCTCTCCTCTGGACATGTCCAAACATCTCAGTGTGTCCTCTCTAACTTTACCTCCCAGTTGTTCAACCTGTGCTGTACCTCTGCTCTCATTCCTGATCTTCTCCATCCTTGTCTCTCCTAAGAAGAACCTCAACATCTTCATTTCCGCCACCTCCAGTTCTGTCTCCTGTCTTTTTGTCCATGTCTCTGTCTCCAGACCATACAACATAGCTGGTCTCACCACTGTCTTGTAAACTTTTCCTTTGACCTTTGCTGACACCCTTTTGTCACAAATCACTCCAGAAACTTTTCTCCATCACTCCATCCTGCCTGGACTCTCTTCTTCACCTCTTCACCACACTCCCCATGTTCCTGGACAGTGGACCCCAAGTCCTTGACGTCCTGCACCTTTGTGACCTCTGCTCCTTGTAGCCTCACTGTTCCACCTCCTCCCTCTCATCCACACACATGGACTCTGTCTTACTACGGCTGACTTTAAGTGCATACCTGCACCTCTCCAAGTTCTCTTCCACCTGTTCCCTGTTCTCACAATCATCTGCAAAACATGTTGTGAAGTGAACAAACCTTTAAAATAACAACTAAGGAAGTTATTTTCTATATTTTTAACCTTCCGGGTTAATTTAGATCCATCAGACGTCTCGTTATCGACCTCTGAACGTTTTGTCGTGCATCGTGTCGTGGTTGTGCGTTCTCACAGCGGGTTCTGTCCACGGCGTCTGCGAAGCGACGCTCTCGCTCGTGGCGACGCTCGCCTGCGTGTGCCGCTCCGCTCGTTCCTGCGCCTCCTGACAGCGACACCCGGTGGTCCGCGAGGGAACAGTCTGCACACACGAACCAGGTTTAACTCAAAATGAGCTCCGTACGGCTCAGAGCTGACGATAAAACATGGGGGGGGGGGGGG